CGGACGATTTGCTGGAAAGTCGGCCGGACCGCCGTCATAGTTAAAGCAATGGTTATATAGTAATGGTAATAGTAATGGTAATAGTAACAGTAATAGGAACGGAACCATCCGAAGTTTCAGCGACTATTTGACGCGGTTTTCGTGGCTCCTGCTTGCTTGTGTAAGCAGCGCAGTCATGTCAAATAGCCCTCAAGTGTCCAACACACCCCCCCCCTTTTCCCCCACCCCTCCTGTTGAGTGCGGTGCCTGGCAGGGCTGCCACGGGCCACGACCTTGGCTCTGCGCGCGGCGGCTCGGGGTCGGTTCCGTGCATCTACGGAGCCGCCTCGAAGCCGGAGCGTGCGGAGCGCGACCCGGCGAAGTGCAGCTACCTCAGGGTCTCAGCGCTGCAAGGGCGTCGTCCGGTCAAGCGTGAAGTCGAGGTGAGGTCATACAGAGCCCCAAGATTATGGAAGCAGATCGGGCCCCAGTTCCCTGAAGTTTTGCATTGAGGTGCTAGGGCCTGCTAGGGCGCACAAAGCCAGGCGCAGAAAGCTGGCGATCGTGCTGTCCCTGAGAGTTCCTGCCTCGGAAACCACTTTTGAAGGCTTTGCCGTTTTCGGCTATCCAGGCGCTGCCTGCACCGTCGGAGCTCGATACAGACTTGACCTCGGAGATTGCGCTGTTTTGAGGGATGCGTGCGCAGTGCACAGCTTGCTTTCTGGAGTCCGATGTTGCGGTCACATGGCTGCGGTGCTGATTGCTGACATCCGCAGCACCAGAGCATTCGGCAATTACGTATTCGATAGTTTCGCGGGGACTGTGCCGGAAGGCACGATGACATCAGTTATGAACCGGCTTGGCACCAACTGTGCCAAACGCCGACACGCCAACCAGGTCTGTCGTGAGAACATGCGGCTAAGTGGGGTTGGTTAGGGACAAATGAGGCAAGAAAGGGTGATTCAGACTCAGACGATCAATCTCCTCAATTCCTGAGTTAGGCGCTTCTGCTTGTAGCCCTCCGAGTCTTTGCTCATGTTATACATGGGCGCGAACGTGCCCAAGGAGGCCGTGCTGTCGCCAGTGACCTACCTCGAAAGCACGAAAAGATGCAAAGCAGCACAGCAAATCGACTTTCGTGCCTTGAAGATCCTTGAAGTATCCGCGAAGACTTGAGTGGCAAGCGCATGGTGACACCGCCCGAACATGCCCGAACCAAGAATGAGGGCATGCTTTCCGAGCATCTGAATCTGGATATCGCTGTCCTTCCTTTTACTCGTCGAGGCTGTTGAGGAAGTGTCCCCGATTGTTGCGAACATAGCTTGAAGTCCGGGGCTCTGAGGCAGTGCAGTGGAATCGCTTTGTAAGGACCTCGATTTCGCTTGGACCTTACAAAGGCAGAGAGCGATCAAAGAAACATTGGGGATTGTACGCTGTAACGGAGGTCACTGGTGAGTCTGGCGACGTCCAGCTTGATCCCACACTCGCCTACGGAGCCGCCCGCAGCTGAGCAAAGAGTCGAACTCTACAACCCCTCTTCAAGTGATGCTTGCTTCGAAGATTGCTTTCCCGACTCGAGGCAGCACTGACATTCAAGGACTGTTGGGAAGCAGTTCAGGTGGTGAAGCGTATCCCCGCCACTTTGCAGGACGTGAGCTTCGAGCTGCTGCCAGGCTCTGCTTTCAGACCCTCTGACCCCGCGAGCTCCGCCAGATGCTTCGCGCCGCAGGACGGGAGCGAATTCTGTCCCCGTGCTCCGGACACTTCGAGCCTGGCACGTGGCCTGGCTGAGAGCCCCCCAAGCCGGGCCTTTTTATGGCAGCAAGCGGCGGGGGAAACGGCGGTGACCTGTCTCGATCCAAGGTTGGTCGCACTCATGGGCGCGACCCCCAAGATTTCGAGAAACTCCGCGAGGCTGTGAGTGCTCAATGCCCAAGCGGAGGTCCTTCTGGAAGCGGCAAGACAACGCTGCTGGATATCCTTGCTGGCAAGAAGACCTCGCCCTACACCGGGCAAGCTCCGACACTCAGACACACCATCACCACAACCTAGAAGCTTAGCCGAGCTGAAATGGAGCAGGTCCATCTCAATGGCCTGCCCCGCAACGAGCTCTTCCCTCGCCTGACGAGCTATGTCCCACAGGAGAGAGCTAATAAAGAATTGACACAACTTTCCGAATTTCGGAACCAAGTTTCACCAATCTCCTCTTAGGAGGGTTTAGGTTCTGGGTGTCGCAACCATCTCGTTCTAGGGTGTTGGATGTGTTGGGTTTCTCGAATCAAAAATCACCTTTTGGATTTATGGTTTTCGGTTTTCGCAACCAGCATTTGATTTTGTAGGGTATTGGGTTTCTCAACCAACAAACTGCAATACTTTGGGAAATGGTTCGAAACAGATTCAACCAACATCTACTTTTGGGTTTAGACTTTCCGACCATTCATACCCCTTTACCATGTTGGGCTTCGCAACCAACGTCGTTCCTTCAGGGTTTGAGATTTCTCAACCAACATCTCCTCTTCGGTCTTGGGTTGGCAACCAACATCTTTTTTGGTTTCGCAGCCAACATCTCCTTTTGAGGAGTTCCGTGAATGTTGGAAAGCATGCCTTTCACGCATTTGGACCTTAAGAGGTCGCGGGGAAACGACAAGCTTCGAGGTAGTAACAGTAATAGTAACAGTCGTCGTTGTCGTAGTAGTAGTAGTCGTCGTCGTAGTAGTAGTAGCAGCAGCAGCAGCGGTAGTACTAGCGGTCGTGGCCGCAGCCGTGGCCTTGGTCGTGGCCGTGGTCGCGGTCGCCGTGGTAGTAGTCGTCGTCCAGCAGTCGTGGTCGTAGTCGTAGTGGAGTGGCAGTGGTGCTCGTTGTGGTAGTACTAGTTGTCTTTCATTCCTCGCGCTGCGGACAATCCAAACGAACGCGTAGCGAGCTGGCGAGTCCTCAGTTTTGAGGACCGGATCCTGGGTGGGATCAACAGGAGGCAAGGTGGCGTCCCTGCCCCATCCTAACAAACTACTCTCTCATCTTTTTGACTCATAGCTCCGCTCCTGGAAGCCGTCTGAACCATATGATGTACGCATGTGAATCAAACTCATCTCCCGCGTGCTGCGGTGCACAGTTGTCATCTGTCACCCGGCACTGTGATGCACCGAAGCCATTTTTGCCCTTTGAGCACCGCCCTGTGCTGTCCCTTGTCAGGACTGGCCCCGACGAAGTGGGCTTGGTAAGAAGTGACCTGGTACGCCACTTGGTCACATTCCGTGCTCCACTCACGGAATACTGGCACGTGCACCGGCGAGTGAGGAGGATATCGGAAAACTACGGGCGAAGTCAGGAAAACAAATTCAAGGAGGGCGATGTCGGAAAACAGCCGGACAGAGTCACACAGCCAGAATCAGAAAACAGCACAGACGAAATCAGAAAACAGAGCAGAATCGGAAAACAAGAATCAGAAAACAACACAAACAAAATCAAAAAACAGAAGAGAAAATCAGAAAAAAGGGCGTAACCACCTCTCCGTTTTACCCACAAACCGGGAGGTGAAGGAAGGCCGCACTCCTTTCACCCTCCTTTCACCCCTCGGTCTTGGCCACAAACCGAAATGCGAAGGAAGGCCGCGCTCCTTTCACCTCTCGGTTTTGGCCACACCGGGAGGTGAAGGAAGGCCGCGCTCCTTTCACCCCTTTGTTTTGCCCACGAACCGAGTGGTGAAGGAAGGCCGTGCTCCTTTCACCATCTTTCACCCCTCGGTTTGGCCACACACCGAGATGTGAAGGAAGGCCGCGGTCCACCACATCGGCCGGGTTCGAGAACCTGAAGATTTGCAAACTATATAAGCACTGGCGGTGGAGGCACCAGAAGCCTATGCGGTGTGGCCTGGCTGTGCCATTTATCCATACACCATTGGAGATGGCAGATATCCCCCGCATTGGTAGCGAAGGCCAACGGATGACTTCTTTCACGTGCCTGCCATCCCCCTATGTACTGCGCAAGCTCATCTGCATGATGGCCTCGGTGAAGCTGAACCAATGCTGCAGCAGGAGAGTCCATGCCAGCCCCCGGTGACTTGGACCACGGATGACTGAGACCCTGGCTTGGCTTGCACAAACTACGAAGACATGGGGCTACGACGATCGTCGAGTGCCCATGCTGCTGAGCCTGCAGGAGAAACCACAGTAAGCGTACAAAGTGGAATCGAGGCAAGCTGAAGGACAGCCTTGAGCGACGGAATTTCGTTCACCATTGTTTCAGCTCCTCGATGGCACTGTCGTATTGAGGTGGATCCTTGCGTGGCCGGCAACCAATCGTGTGCCATGCTTCTCGGCCCACTCACTCCCGGAGGATCGCCCAAATCGGGTCTCGCCCTCCCGTAGTGAGATCTCCATCTGAAATTGCACCCAGGGTGTCGTGGGGTTGGGTACCAACTCCATCACACTCTTGAATCCATGCATGCTCTCCTCCGTGATGTTCTTGCGCGGGTCGGCTGTGCTGACCGTGTGGTGAGCAACGTGTGCAGCTCCGTTTCCATGCAATCCTTTGGCTCAAGAACGAGTTATCGTACGAGCGTAGCACGAAAGCCATTCCCTCTCGGCGACCCAACGCTCGTAGTGTCAGGTGATCCTTTGCACGGACGAGCTCGCTCCTGGAAAAGAACAGAGCGGCTGTTTCGCTGTATTTGAGCTGTTGAACTAGGCTGGGGGGATCTTGGAACTTCGACGACGACTATAACAAAAATTACGCTCAAAGTGAAGGCAGTAATATTTTATCGCTACGGCGAGGATGGAAGGCTACACAACGTGCCAAGAAACCACCGAGCAAAACCGAGATCCACGACAAGGTCGTTCACAAATTCCAGGCCTGCTCGGTGAGGTACCCAATCAGGATCAAGGAACCCAGAGCGAAAGGCAAAATCTGTGATCCAACAGTCGAAGGGTCAACAGAGTCCACCGTGGAGAACAAGAAAGCGTGAGCCAAGAAGTTCACCGGATGTCATGAGTCATGAGCAAGAGCAAACAGTCCGAGAAATCAATTCGTGATAAACTGGCAGTGCAGTGCAAGAGGATCGGAGTCCCTCGGTCGCATCCTGCGGGGGCAGGGCTCACTGGAGGCCAAGTTCTTCGGGAAGCAGTGAAGCGCTAACTGGCCCAAGTCGAAACCAGGGCCGGCGAAGTCAATGCAGAAAAGAGTTCAAAGTATGAGCAAGTGGCGGAGTCCTTCATTTCGAAGATCACCGAAATGGAGCAAGAAGACATGTTGCCACGATCAGGATCGAGCAGCTGGAAGTCTGTAAACCGCGACTCGGTTTGACCTGGTTCGCATGCTGAGATTGGTGTGCCTGGCTCGCCTTCAAATAAACGTTTCTGATTCGCAGTGTGTCACAATGTGACAAGTCCTTCGATTTTCCTTGCCAAGATTTGCAAAGCAGGATTTCGTGTAATTCCTTCGCGAGCAGTGCTGACGGCTTTGTCTTGACAAATTGTGACATTGCTGAACCTGTGCGCCTGAAGCGGCAGTCACTGTGCGTCAAAGATCGTCAAAGGCCACGTTCGCGTGTTGCGTGAGTATCAGCAAGCCAGCTAGCCTTCAGGCTCGATGAGATCGGTTGGCAGCACATTGGGCACCGATGCTATGCCATGCGTTGCTGAGTTTCGGCCAGACTTTCGTCGACACCTCTTTGGTCCGACTTTGCTGCCTCTGTCCGAGCTGATGTGGTATCGTACTATGCTAGTCCGCTAGCCCGCCGAGGCAGAGAGTGGACGCAAATGGATTCCGAGGGCGATGTTCATGAGACAGCGCTCCTTTCAGAGATCGAGCGCTGCGGCAAGCGGGCTCGGACGTGCAGTGGTATGAAGCCAATCCGGCGGATGGGCTCAGCAGATTGGGTCTTGAGGACCCTTGGACACTGCAGCAAGTGTGGCTCTTCGAGGAGTTCTCCCAGCTTCATGTTCCCTTTATTTTTGACGCACCAACTGCAATGGTCCAGGCTGTAGTATCAGGCCGCACGTCCAAGCGATGGCAATTGCCGCGCACCTCCGGCGCAGCAGTCTGCAGGAAACAAACTGCGACCTTGTAGCCGTTAAGAAAACATAAATATGCACAAGCAAGCACGACCTCACGGCCGAGGCTCTGTACAGCTACAGTATTAACCGTAGTATCGGTAGTATTACGACCTGAAATGGCATACCTTTCTGCGCCTGAAATGGCCCGTGGCCCATGCACGACCCGAACCGGCAGACCCGAAATAGACACCCCCGACCGAGATGATGGGCCTGCAACGTGTTTTGCCCAACCTCGCACATTTCCAGTTGGCAGGACGACATGATGTTCCCCACGGTCACTGTCGCCGCCTCGTCGTTTCCGTGGTTACAGATAGCTCAGATGGCGATGGGCTGTGAGGTGAAGGAACAAGTCATGTTCCACACCGCCTTAAAGACAGAGGCACGACCTGTAAGTCATCTTTGCAGTGCCATTTTGCACTTGCTTTTCAGTGGTTGTGCCGGGATGGAGGTGCCTTCCACGGTCCGCCGTGAAGATTGGGCAAAGACCATCGAGCTCCCCAGCCAAAAAGTCTCTATCTTCCGCCTTGTTCTATATGGTACCAAGGCTTCAACTCCGAGCTGTGGGTCTGGAGGAGGCAAGCGCGGCAAGTCTGATTTCAGGGGCTGGTTGGGGATGTTGAGCTTGGCGCTTTTCTTTCTTGGGTCCGGTCAAATTTCGGCCCGGTCAAGCTTCGTCCCTCCTGAGTGCCCGAACTTTATACGCAGTTGTCAGTTGTCGACTCTGCGAAATCGCCTCGGAAGTGGTGCAGAGTGGCGAGTAGCTGAGTAGCTATCCAAGGCGTGCAAGTGCCCTAAATCCGGCCGAATGGAGTGCGGCCTCTCACGGCCGTCTGGATCGCGTCTCCCTTTCAAGTCGCAAGTGCCGGGAGAGCAATCAACTTGTAAAGGCGGGCCAAGTTATATGTCTCAACCCAGCGATCCAGTCAGACTTTCTTCGTCTTCAGCAGCGAAGCCCTGGTCGCGAAGGTAGATATATTTTTGTTGTTACAAGACTCTTTAAAAGCAAAAGCGGCCATTCCGCCGCGTGACAAATTCATGAGGAGCTGGGCGCAGCCCGGCAACGACCCGTCCACGAGGAGACTGAACATTCACAAAAAAAACATTCGCGTTATCCTGTTTTTTCATCTGCGCCAAGTGTTAACAGGAAAGATAGCAGATAATAGCAGGGAGCACATCAGGAATAGGCAGGAAGCACAAGGAGCAGAACCCTTGTGAGGTGCAGAACTCCTTGATCGGGAGTGACGTCGTGCGGGGCATCTCTGGTGGGCAGAGGCCTGGTCACAGCTCTTTGCCCGTTTCAGTGCTGCCGGGCTTCAGGCGTCGCGTGTCTCTGGCTTGTGGCCTGGCGACCGGCGCCCGAAGACTCAAGAGATTTCGCATTCTCGCGTCCCTGAAGTGCAATCCCCCTCAACCCGATTTGGCCCTAGCCTGCGAGGCACAAATCTTCTTCTGTGATGAGCCGACGTCTGGCCCAACTCTCAGCACCCGGGCGGCAGCTGCGACGGAGATGGCCTTTTGCTCCTAGGCTTGAGTGCCACGGATGCCGAGCAGTGCGTGAGGCATCATGCAGCAATGTGGCACCACGAGTGAGACCATGAATCCGGGACAGGTACATGCGCCTCCTGTGCAAAAAGTACGGAGTCAGCACTGTAGTTGCAATCCACCAGCCGCGGCAAGAGGTGGGATTGGGAGATGATGGAGATGAGAAGACGAGCACGGGAAGTTCTTGCATCGTAAGGTTGCTGTCCTCTTCGATCACCTTCTGCTCCTGACTAGTGGGGATGTCGTCTACAACGGCAAGATGACCGAGGCTCCAACCGACGACAGAGAGACAGATGGGGAGAGTGGGGAGTGCGCCCAGGCGCGGCGCTATTGGAGCGACGCGGGCTTTCCCGCAACTCGGCCCCACGGAAACACGGGGAAACACGTAGCGCAGCGCTTTGCAGGTCCCGGACCTGGTTTCTCCGACGGAGCGCGTGAGCCGCCTTTCCTTTTGTGTCCATCCCATCTTTTTTGGTGTGGAGGACTATTTCCTGGACTTGGTGACCCCCGGGACGCTGGACTCACAGGCGCAATCAGCCGGAAGGCTTTCAATGTTAAGAGGGGATCGAAGCGCCAGGTGGACCTCTTCCGGGAGTTTTATCAGACCAGTCCCAAGGGCAAGGCATCCGTCGATGAATTAGTGGAAGCCCCAACGGAAGGCGAAAGCGATCGCTGCACAGAGCGATCAGCGCTTTCTGCTCTGAGGTGGACCGGGAGCTCTGTAAGGCCGCGTTGACGGCGGAGGAGCTCTTGGAGGTCCAGAGCGGCGCACAGAGCACAGCGACAGCGACAGCTGCAACAGCTGGGCCATCGCCAGGCCAGACACCGGCGATTGCCGAGCCGGCTTCAACTTTCTACTGGGATGCTCGCACCAGTTCCAGGGATGTGATGTTCTGCTCGCCAGGTCGCAGTTTGGAGACATGCCACCATTGAGGTCTCACAGCATCTACGGGGTCAGGCCCTGCAGAAAGAGAGAACTTGTGGGATGACGGGTGTAGGCAGAGCGAGTGAGACCGAAAGGAATGCATGTATTCCAGACAACCCAGCTTCACGGATTTTCACTTTGTCTCACAGTGGTAATTCAAGATCCCCCATTTGTGTTTGTATGTCCTTCTTTATGCCTTTCCGGCTGCTTGCGAGGTTCCAGAAGCAACTGCAGAAGGTCTTTTGTAGGCAAGTACGCCTCCTCCTTCGGGATCAGTCCGCTCCTCACCGGGACTGATTTAGCGCGATCTCGCGGAATTTCTCCGGGCTTGTAAGGCAGGGAGTGCTTACCGAGATTTTGGTGGCCATGGTGCAGGCTTTGGTTGTAGGTGCGGAGCTCGGTTGAGGAACGCGGTCGCTACAGATCCGAGCCGAAACAAGGTGCAGCGTACATTGGCATTGGAAAGGGAGAAGATGCTGGATATCACCAGGCATCGCCAAATCAGGCGGTGTTAAGCCTGGGGACACTTAGTGCTTCAGGTCGGATTCTACTTCATGCTGGTGATGACATGCGCCCTCTCCGGCATCAAGGACCACCCTGGCCTCGTTTGATCTGACGACCACATTTTTTGCGATTTCCGGTTGATTCTCGCTGCTAGCTGTTTTGAGACATGAGGCGTTGAACGTTGGTTAAGCTGCTGCATCAGTGAACCCAATCCTTGCCTTTGGGATCAGATGGAGTGGCCGTAGCAGGAGGCACTCCGCCACAGGCTCTGAACAGGCTCATTGCGGAGGCAGACGCGAGAAAAGGAGAAGGCTGGGCGCGTCTCGGCGTCTCCAGCTCCACAAGGAGACGAAACTCGAGAGCTCCAGAAAGTGCAGCTCGGCGAGGCTTTGAGACTTAGAAACGCTTTCGGACTTCGCCATGGTCTCTCTGGGAGAGTTGCGTCCGCCGGCATGTCATGGCGCAGGATTCCTCTCCTAGAAGTGTTCTGCGCGATAGTGTAGGAGCGTGCAGTGCAGGATGTGGTATCGGCGAGAGAGCCAGGTCCAAAAAAGCCTTCTCTCCTCCTCGTGAGTTTCTTCTGCCCCTCCGCCACGTATCCATCCATGACATAAACAAATCCTTCTCCTCAATGGACAGGGCTTAAGTGGCCCCATTGCAGCCCGGATCAAGATTCCTCGGGCCCCAGATGTTCAGAAAAAAACGCTCCTAACCCAACGGCGGGCTTTAGAAGGTCACTTTGTGTCACCTTTGTCAGCTAGAAGTCCTGGGCAACAGGGTTTGATTGGCCTCTCTGGGGGGCTACAAAGGCCTCTGAAAAAGAAGGAACAAATGAATCTTAAGGAAGGCAAAGAACAACTTGACAGCCCACAAAGGGAAGGCTTCATCCGGACGCTCCGAGCCTCGCCCGAGGTTCAAGGTGCACTCGCGATTTCCGTCTGAAGGTATGCGTGCATTACGTGCCCCCGTTGTCTTAGGCGCGCTGTGCCGGAAACGATCGCCTCATGGGGCGGCCAGATGAAGATATGAAAGATATGTGATGAACCGGGATAGGCAAATGAGGGGCGGGTTTACGACATGTGGCCAACCGGGATAGCCTATTGAAGGGGCGTGCTTAAGGAATCAGGTGCGTCGAAGGAGGGGGCGGGTCTAAGAAATGTTCTCAACCAGGATCGCCTCAAGACGCGGCGTGTTTAAGATGTGCTGATCCCCCAATTACGGGGCGTGTTGAAGATATGCGATCCAGCTGGATCTCCAAACCAGGGTGCATGTTTAAGATATGTGATGAACTGGCATCGCAAAAGGAGTCGGGATGCGGGATGGGCGTGTTTAAGATATGTGATCTACCTGGAGCGCCTAACGTGGGAGCGGCGTTTTCGATATTTGAAGCCAGTAGCGCCTCACTCATCGTCGAATCGTTCTTGGCGTGTCGCCGAGATGCAGCAACGAGTCGGTTTACAGCAGAGCCGACCGCTGCTGCATGCTGTTGAAGCCCCGAGGCCCTACACACTGAAGCCATGAACCCTGAAGCCGTAGCCTAGATCCCGACATTGAGACCTAAACCCCGAAACTTTACACACCGTCTACGTGTCTGCATGTGGGTGCGTACACAAGTAAGCGCAGAGACGCCTGAGCGAGGTGTGGCACGTCCGGATGAAGCTTTTTCAGGGGCATAACAAAAGCCCTGTGTGGCCCGTCAAGGTGTTCCCGACAGCATCGCGAAGGGTTCTTCCGTGCCCAGCCCTTTAGAGAAGTACATAGGATCAAGTACACAGAATACTATGTAGGCAGAGTCAAGTGTACAGAGCATAGT